CCCCCCCCCCCGTGACTCACCCCTGCGTGGCTGCGGGGACACACAGCACAGGGCACCTTTGATGAATCAAAAACATGCATCGGTGATGGCTGGTTCATCAAAGATGGAGATAAAACAGCCCAGAGGCCCTGATAGACTCCTCCGCATGCCAACATGGGACCCGGGAGGCGGCGTGGCCAAGCCCAGGCCCCGCAGCCGCGCAGGGGGCGGAAACCCGGGTTCTAGACCCCAGGCTGCGAGCTGTGTTTGTCAGGTGCCAATACACAGAGCTGGGAAGGAACGGCGCCGGCATCTCTGGTGAACACGCTGGCTTTGGGCTACACAGGGGGTGTAGAAGTATCCCCAAAAACCACTCTGAAGAGAGGGAGGAGGCTCAGTAGTCTTCCTCCTCCTCCAGCCTTCCCCATTCTGTTCCTTCTTACTTTTTTTAGTTTGTGCTGGTCCTGGGGCCTGAACTCACGGCCTGGGCGCTGTCCCTCCCTGAGCTTTTGTGCTTGACGCTGTTGCTCTACCACTTGAACCACAGCTCTGATTCCAGCTTTTTGGTCGTGTATTGGGAAAGAAGAGTCTCATTGGACTTTTCCTGCCAGGGCTGGCTTCAAACCACGATCCTCAAATCTCAACCTCCCGAGTAGCCAGGATTACAGGCATGAGCTACTGGCACCCGGCTTGTAGCTTTCTTTTTGAGGTGCCCCATCCTTCCATGGCGTCTGAACGGAATCTCTTATACACAATGGTGCTGGGGCTCCCTCCCTACACATCTACGCACCTGAGCGGTTGCTGAGACAACCACTCCTAAGCCTGGGTGGAGGTTGGGGAGAGGGGATGCTGAGCGCCCCCATCCCAAATAACACCTTGGGTTCAAATCCCAGCACCACCTCCCCAAAACGCATATGCACAAAATGGAAACAGGCCTCGTGTTCGTGGCTCACACCCATCACCCCAGCTGCTCAGGAGGCTGAGATCTGAGGATCACAGTTCAAGGATCACAGTCAAGGCAGGAAAGGCCGAGACACTTACCATCAGTGAACTAGCAAAAAGCCAGAGCACGGCTGTGGCTCAAGTGGAAGAGCGCCAGCCTGGAGCAACAAAGCTCAGGGACAGCAGGCCAGGCTCTCGAGTTCAAAGCCCCAGAACCACCACCACCACCACTACCACCCAAATAAACAGGATTCCAGTCTCCGGGAAAAGCCCAAGGCTAGTCAGAAAAATAAATTCAAAGGTCAAATTCATGACATTCAAGCATACACACACCCATGGCGGCGGCC